CCGGCAGCACCCCAGCTGCTCTGCCCCAGGTCCTGATTCAGCCGCTGCTGGTCAGTTTCAAGAGTTGCTCTGCCCCGGGCTTCCTGGAATCAGCTGCTGATCAGTTTCAGCAGCAGCTGACTTGGGGACGCCTGGGGTTCTTAAGTTGATTCTGTATGTAAGTCAGAACTGGCGGTCAGTTTCAGCAGCCGCTGAATCTGGACGCCAGTTCCGACTTACATACAGATTCAACTTAAGAACAAACCTACAGTCCCTATCTTGTACGTAACCCGGGGACTGCCTGTACTTAGTCTTTTCCAGCATAGAAATTCCTCCATTTGGTGTTGCCATTACAATAATACTGCAAATACAGTAAATATTTTCCTTTTTCACATTCAGGGCCAAGCTGTGCATGACTTAGCTATTCAAACACCTCAATAATGTCAAGAGAAGTTTTGGAACACTGAAAAGACATGCCCTAGGATCTGATAATCCTATTTTTAATATATTTCTGATTTTTTTCTCTCTCTTAGTTTATACATCTTTACATTGTCCTTGTCCCTTACATTTTTTCCCTCTCTCATCTGTTTTTTAAAAGACATTGTACTTCTCATCTTTTGCATTAATGAAATGTGTTGCCTATCAAATGTGTTTTGAGACACTATATCATCAATCCTCAAATCTGGATATAGGATGCAGATTTGAGCAAGCTAACGAGATCCTCGAGGCTGAGTTTGGCACCTCTGATTATCCAGAAGATGAAAAAAAGAAGTCAGAGATATCTGACAGGCTTATTTGAAAAGGTAATAATGAATATAGAAACCTGAGAAAAGAATAGTCTGAAAACATTGCACTGGTGTGCATGTGATCACTACTTTCAATATAAAGCACTAACCTTATTTTTAAAGTATGAAACCTATTTCTTCCATCAATTATTCCTCTTTTCTTCCAATCATTACAGGCCCAGGCCCAGAAACTTCCTCACCCACACATTTAAACTCATCAAGATTATTCATGCTAGTAAACACTACAGTTAGCAACAGAAGCGATCAAAATTTTTCTCTACACTCAGCAGGAGAGAGCTGATCGATTTCACAAAATCAGCACTTCTGAGTCATTTTCTTTTTTTGCAAGGGTCAAAATGGGGGAGAGGGGGACTTTTGGGGGAGAGCCAGAGGAAGGAGGAACACTTTGCTTTAAAAAAAAAATCATTTTTGAAATTGTTGAATTTTCAGTATGCTATATTTCCCTCCTCGTTTTTGTTCTTACCACTACAATACAATGAATTAGATCCAAATGTGGGGTCCTTTCTCCACTTTTTCATCTGGCCCTTCTAATTTTTCCAAAGTTGAAGATATGGGAAAATTTCATATGGAAAAAAATTTAAAATGGACAAAAAAAGGGGGGGGGAAGATGTCCCTCCATGTCATTCATTCTGTCTCATTCACTGGCCAAAAGGAATATCTGAAACAAGAAGGGCAAAAAGCCCATCAATCTGAAAATTTGAAAATTGGGGTTTTGGTGAAGAACTGGAAAATTTTAAAAACAAAAAGCTTATGAAAATTGTCAGTTAAAAATGCAATTTTTCAGCAAAGGGCTGATCCACTTTGAAGAAGAAGAAGATATCTGTATAGCTTAACACTTAGAATTTCCCAACTCTCCCTCATCTTTGGCTTCTGTTTTTTGTTTTTGTGATTTTGGAGGGCGGGGTTGTTTGTTTTTGGCTTTATCTAATTTAGAGCCCTAGTCTGTAAACACTACAGATTACTTTTGTGCTCTCCCTTGCTATAGATGGGATTTCTCAGGGCAATAAATGCAACTCCAACCATTAGATGTGCATGTACAGATTGGAAGCCCGCGGTTCCCAAACTGTGGTCTGTGGACCTCCAGTGGTCCACAGAGCACTGGGAGATCAACTATGGAGAGCTGACTAGATAGTTGACACTTTCATAATGTTGATTTTCCATGTAAGCTGCTATGGAAGCCCCTGGGAAGATGTTCAATCAGTGATGAGAGGTGACCTGTGTGAGCATGAAGGGAGAAGTGTTCATCAGACAAACTCTTTTCAGTCGTTCTCCATACTCTGAAGATCCGTGATATAAGTTCTTTGGGGAAGAGAGAATCCTGCAGCATTTTCTGTTGTGAGCAGTCCCATTGGCATTAATGGAGCCCTGTGGATCTATGATGTATGCGTTTGCAAGTTAGTTATTGTAGCCTCTATTTAAAATGGAATGAATAGTTCTGTGTTAAACTAGTGTCCATAGAGCAGGAGTGGGCAAAAGGGCCTCCGTGGGCCGGATCAGGCCTGCCACGCGGGTGGATCCAACCTGCGGAGGTCCTGCTGCTCCCCTGCCCCCAGGCCTATTACGGCCTGGGGGCAGGGGAGTGTGCGAAGCCATCTCTGCTCTGTCCCTGTCCTGCGAGCAGTGCACGGCGCTTGAAAGCATCGCGTGCTCCTGGAAGGGCGGAAGGAAGCTTCGCGCACTCCTCCACCCCCAGGCTCGAATTGGCCTGAGGGCGGGGAAGCAGCGTGGCATCCGTGGGTCGGACCCACCTCCGTGGGTCGGAGAAGCTTCACGTGCTCCCCCCGCCCCAGGCCTTAATTGAAGCTCATGGGGAAGGCACAAGCCCTTTAAATAGAAGCAGTTGAAAGGGCTCGCAGCTCCCGGCCCTGCCGCTAACATGTTGCCTAGGAGCTGGGGAGGCGAAAGCCCTTTAAAGTGCTTCTATTTAAAGGGCTTGTGCCTTCCCTGCAGCTGCTAAATAGAAGCAGTTGAAAGGGCTCACGCATCATGTTAGGGGGCGGGGATGGGAACTGCCACACGGGCCAGATAAAGAAGCTAGGCAGGCCAGATCCAGCCTGCTGACAGGCTCTTGCCCAGCCCGGATATAAATTCTAAGGTGGTGGTTCCCAGCCTTTTTTATACCACGGACTAGCAAGCTCATTCAAACTATTGGTGGACCAGCACTGGAATATTTGCACATTCATTATGGTAATTAATGTATTTGTATATTTGCATATTCGTTGTGGTGATTATAAGAGGCCATGTGTTATTTTACATTGCATCTGTAGGCATACAATGCATGTCATTGTAACCATAGCCCATGGCATATGAGGCAAATCAAAGGAGGGGGGACATGGTTAAAAAGAATTTGAAAAACTGCTGCACACACACATTTTAAAAAAACAATAAAATAGTTGCTAATACTTGCTAAAGGGTATTCTCCAGTCCACACCTTTGGCCTCAACTGCACCAGAATTAAAGAGGAAGTGGTTAACAGGTCTGACAGTGTTGACACATTCAGCACATTAATATTTTTCTATGCACTTAATTATGCATAATAATGCATAATAATAATGCGTGTGCACGCTGGCTGGGAGCAGCTGGAGGCCAGGGGGAGGCTGCTGCCAAGCAGGGAAGGAGGAGAACGGGCTTGCAGGGGCAGCCGCTCCTTTTGTCAGACATGCATCTGACGAAGTGGGTCTTTGCCCACGAAAGCTTATGCTCCAACACTTTGGTTAGTCTATAAGGTGCCAGAGGACTCCTCGCCGCTTCTGCAGATTCAGACTAGACTGTACTGCTCCCAGCCCCCAGCCGAGGGGGAAGCTTGGAGCCTCCCCTCCCAAGCCAGATATAGTTGGTTGTAGTTCTTGCCACTTCCCCAACAGGTCCCCAAGAGCAGCTTGAGGAACAGGACATGTGGGAAGGAGTGCAGGCAAGGGCCAAGGACATAAGAAGTAGAGAATGATCCCCGTGAGAACAGTCCTTTAAAATGGAAAATGACAAGGAGGTAGCATGAGCTACAGACTCAAAAGAGCCATTTCACCATTGCATACTTTTGTATCCAAATGGTGAAATCCAGGAACTTTGGATACTAGTTCCTGGTGGATTTCTAAATGGAATTTCTGTTCCTTGAGCAATTACGCAAGCGGGGAACAGAGAATGGACAAGTAGCCCTCTACCACATCTGTCTGGTCCCTTGAACACCATGGTGTGCGGCATAGTGGCAACCATGACTCTTCTAGGTGATCTGTTGTTATAAAGTTACTACGTCTTTAATATGATTTAATTTGCATTTTTTATCATTTCAACTGATATCATCAGTGTTTGGCCTTTTTATTTTTATTAATTTAAATGTCCATGGCTGTGAAAAATTATCATTTTAAGCAATTTTTTATTCTTATTGATTTAAATGTTCACAGATGCAGGAAATCTGGGGATCAGACAATGGGAAGAGTCGGACAATAATTTACTGACGGTAGGCACTGAGATTCAAAAAGCTAAAGCTTTATAACCATTAAAACACAAATTGTTAACATCATGTGGGGGCAAAATATTCTAAGTGAATATCCATAAATCCAACTCTAATAAGCTGTCAAGTAGTATTTGTCTTACTTTGCCGATCTCTACATTCCAGTCCAATCATTGGAAATATTTTTGTTCATTTGTGTGTGAATAATGAACTTGAGGTTTATCAACATTTATTAATAAAAATCACATTCTTCTAAGTCTAAGTACTATACTTCCTTACCTTCCTGCCTGTTTGGCTTATCTCTGCTAAAAGCATTTCCTCCGATGAGATAAACAGACAATTTCTCAGTTCTGCTGCATATCAGCTTACAATTGTGTGTGGCTATTACTAGAAAGATAACCCCCTAACCATCAGGGCAAAGTTGGTGGTACAGTACATAATGCTGAACCAGCATGATATTTATAGCTGGCATAGTGTACCAGGAAGAGAGGCAGCCGAATGTATGCTGCTGGATGGTCCATGCTGACAGTACCCAGCCCTTCCACATAGGGTCTCCTCCATCTGTGTGGAGGGGTGGGGTTGGGGGGCGGGGTGGCAATGCCAGAGGAGCTGCAGGCCTGGGACCACCCAGTGTCCCCACGTTCTGCTCCTTTCCCTGCTCTAGTTCCTGGATCCTGAGAACTGCAGCAGGAAAAGGAGCAGAATCCCCAGCCCTGCCCCCTGACCTTGCAGAGAGCTGCATCTGCTCAGGCTCCCTGCGCTGTGGGATAGGGCTGGGAGCATTACAGGCACTGGAGGAGCTGCCAGTGTCCTCCCTTCCCCACTGCTGTTCCCAGGTGGCCGGGGTGGCCGCCCTTCACGCAGCGCTTGGCCCCAGTCAAGCACCACAGCCACTCTCCACGTGGCACTTGGTCCCGGCCAAGCACCGCAGCCGCCCTCCACTCAGCCCCGTCAGCTGGGTGCTGAAACTGCTGCAGACCAGCAGTTGGGAACTGCTATTCTAAGGGATCTCATGAACTCTCTAATGCTATGTTCATACTCACATACTCAAAGAGATGAGAGTTTGATGGATCTTGTAACAAGCAGTAATCAATAGAAGAGGAGTGGTTCCTCTTGGGGTTGTCACAAAGCCGTCTTCCCGTAGGGTCTTCCCACCAATCCATTCAAGGCACCCCCTGTTATCTTGATGTTCTGACCAAACCTAACACTTAATGCATATGCATGAAGGTTCCAACTTCCTTTTCCTTTTCTGTTCTTCCACACCTCATCGGCTTTGGGGTTTCCTGCTTTTCACAGGTTGTTCTTTTAGCTGCCTTATTCTAATTAGCATTTATGTATGCAAATCTGTCTCCATAGTGACCTGCGATCAGGTACCTTGTGCTCCAGATGGACATGTTGACGTCTCTTTTTCCAGAGCATCACCTATTAGCACATTCTTAACAGTAATCTTGAAACCTTACTGCCAAAAAGTCATTCTTAGGTCACCCATTTGTGTCAAGTCTCCTTTTAAGACTGAGTCCTAGTGTGGCTAAGCTGAAATCTTCTAGCCTGTAGGCCTTAGATTGCTTCCTTACATTACTGGTATTGCTAATGCACACGTATCACTCCTAGGTACATGTCAGATTTATATTCTTATAAGCCTCTCCTACTTCTATCTATTCATCACACATTGATTATATATGAAATAACATAACCACCACAATAACACAATTATATAATAAAATTAGCTAATTAGCCACATTAAACGAACAGTACTACATCAGTGTCCATAAAAATAATAATATTAATGCTCACCTTTGTGGCCAAGGACTTGAGCTTTCCCAGCAATGACTGTTTATTTGAATATACTATTTCCTCTTCATTATCTTCTCCTTCCATTATAGCACAGCTGTCAGCAGCTGGAAGCTCACACTCCTTTGAATTAGCTGTCATCACTAATTTGGAATATTTATACTCCAACCTAAAGGTACAAACATGGACAGTTATTTTTTAATACCTCGTGCTCTAGTTGCAATAGGTAAAGTGGTCAGAACAGCATCTGCAGCTATTCTGTGGGGGTTATTTGTTAGACGTTCTTTGAGAATTAGAAGTTGTATTTTAAGAATCAGAAGTATAAAAGCATTTCCTGTTTTCCAGACTAGAACAGAAAAAATTCTGTCCCACAAAGTTTTTAAATCAAAGACTTTTTTTTAGACTTTTTCGAAAATATATGCTCAAGAGAAAGCAGAAACCATTAGCATGATTCAGGAATCAGTGGGCAGAATTCTGTGGCTTGTATTATACAAGAGGTCAGACTACATGGTCATAATGGTCCATTTTGGTTTTGATATCTATGAATTTAACAAATCGCTATTGCTTTTTGACCTTAAGCCAACCTATGTCAGGGGTTAGGAGGACACTTCTCAGGGGTATCTTGCACCTTCCTCTGCAGCATCTTTTATGGTCTCCATTGGAGACAGGAAATTGGGCTAAGTGGACAACTCAAGTAACCAGGTATGGCATTTCCAACACTGTATTAGGGTTTGAATTCAAGCCCAGTGGAATCTTCGGGAGTCTTTCATAGAATCATAGGGTTGAAAGAAACCTCAGGAGGTCATTGAGTTCAATCCCCTGCCCAAAGCAGGACCACCCCCAACTAAATCATCCCAGCCAGGGTTTTATCAAACCGGACTTAAAAACCTCTAGGGATGGAGATTCAACCACCTCCCTAGGTCACCCATTCCAGTGCTTCACCACCTTTCTAGTGAAATAGTTTTTCCTAATATCCAACCTAGACCTCTCTCACTGCAACTTGACTTTCCAGTGACTTCACAGAGCTCTGGATCAGGCTTTTGATTCATTTTGGTATGTCACTTGAAATGCACAAAACTCACTTCTGATTTTTCTTCCAGAAGTAGCAGGTTAAGGCTACGAGCAGAACAGCTGTGAATGCACCAACACCCGCTCCTACTTTTAACCAAAAGTCCATAGTTTCACAGGTGTTGACTCTTTTCTCAGGCAAGGGAATCCCTTTAATGCACTGCTTTGGCTCATTCCAGACATACAAGGTTTCCTTAAAAAAACAAAAGGAGAGAGAAAACAGAAAAGTGAAGAGAAGGTAGAGAATGTTCATGGACATTTTGAGATAGTGAAATTATAAGAGAAGTGATGTGGTATTTACTTTTCTAAAAATCTATTTTTGACCTATTAGGGACAGAATCTCCACTGGGTTTTGCACCTTTTCTCCCTGCACTGGGAGGATGTATACTGGGTGTAAATGCCAGGGAGAACTCCCTGCTGGCACAAGGATATCTCTGCCAGGTCTCTGCCTGTGGAGTCCCCTCATTCAGCACTGAACAAGAGATGTTGAGTGCGGGAGTGGTGTAATTGGGCTGTGACATTCAGCACCCTACCCCGTGAAGCAACTTAGCATATGTCTACATTGCAATCAGAGGTGTGATTGCACCCCAGATTGGCATATCCAGGCTAGTTCTTATGTTCTTATGTAGTTCTAATCTAGCTTCCTCTCTAAAAATAGCAGTGAAGATGATGCAAACCCACATTGCAGAAAGAGTACCAGGACCATCCTTACAAATTACAGGGCCATACACAACTGCAGCACCTTCACCATGCAGTTTCTGCCAGGGACCTGGGGCTTCCTTCTCCTCACTCATGTGGCTTCTGCTGGGGACCTGGGGCTCAAGGCTTCCCTACTACCCCGCCCCTCTGTGCTGCTTTTCTCACTCTACCCTCATGTAACTTCCAGTGAGGCCTGTGGGCTTCCCTGGAGCAGAGCGGAGCTGCAGAGACTAGGGGCTCCTCTCTGCCACCAGCCTGGAAGCAAGGAGGCATCACTAGCTGGCTGCTGCTGGCCAAGAAAAAGGACCATGTGGGGAAGGGGAGAAGGGACAGGGAGAAGCCCTGACAATGAACAGGACAGAGCATCCGTGGAGAGGAGCCAGAGTGGAACTAGCAAGAGGCATATCCTCAGGCATACAAGAACACATGGTGCCCTGCATTTTCAAGTGCCCTATGCAGCCACATATTTCATGCATGTCTAGGAATGGCCCTGAAGGGTTCGTACCCTGGATTCTGGTCCAACTGACTAGTCCATGCTGCTGTGTCTTATGTGTGAGCTACTAGAGCTAGTGCAGCTATACCTACAAGAGCTGGAATCACACTTCTGATTGCAGTGTAGACATACTCACAGAGCAGTGTGGTAGCTACTTCACTCTACACAGGGGCTTGGGACAGCCCTGATAATTAAGGATTTTAACGGGCTCACCAACACCCCAACCCCTTGCTCCTGCACAGACATGAGTTCTTGTGAAGGGCAGAATATAGCCCATGTCTCCAAAATGTCTTGGCCTAGTAACCTGAGATTTAAAGGTAGAAATAATTTTGGGATGAGACTGACTGCATTCCCCCATGTCATGGCTGCAGGCACAGGGACAGAAGAAAGGATGTGCGCTCCTCACACAGGCTAGCAGAGATTGGGATGAACAGAGGGGGGAATGGGTACCACTTGCCTCTGACATGGGGGTCAGCATAGCAGGTCTGGAATGGGGAAGGCTAGTGGCAGATAACTTCTCCCAGGAGTACAGAAGGTATAGGGAATGAATTGTGAATCATTCCCTGATCTGCTCTTGGAGCAGTGCAACTACATGATGTGCAGACACCATCTAGCCCTGTAGCTCTCATACAGGCAATTTAACAGCACCCCCGACCCCACACAGCTCTTCTCATTTGACTCAAAGGCATCAGCCCTCTACCTGAAATCCTTTTTTGCAAGCTCCCTCAATCTCATGGTAGTCATGCTCTGTGCACAAAGGGCAAGCCTCTGCACTTTCCCACAAGAAATAGAAGATGCATCCATCACAGGTACCAGCGGGGCATGTGCTAGAAGAAAAGCAAAATTTGTTAGGTTGCATACCAGAGAAGGGAGAACTGGTCTGGATTCTAAGCCTCCAGCCTACTGCTAATAATAATTATGATAAATCCATTGATTTATCTTTTCCAAAATAAACCAAAAAAACCCAGAGAGTTTTCAATCAGTGATTTCAATAATTCATTCAACATTTCCAAAATAAACCAAAAAAGCTGAGTGAAAGAGTTTTCAATCAGTGAAATATCTTGCTTCAAGTGTAAAAAGTGTTAGTCTTGCAAAATTTCTGGCAATAAAAGTCCAGGTACAACTGATACTATAGTAAGGAGAAGGAGGATATAAACTTCTATAGACTAGAAGCAGGCAATGAAGGCACTGAAGTTAATCCAGATTTGCACCAATGTGAGGTGAAAATCTGACCCATATTAAACTCGGAAAATATGTTCTAGTATCCTTTAAAAGCACTTTCTAAGATGACGTTACATCAATTTCTGATTTCATAACTGTGTTTTATAAATCTCCCTTGTACATAAGGGTGTCTTTCTGATGTTCTCCAATCAATGAATTATAGAAATTAAACAATTATGTTTTATGAATTGAGCTATATTGCCATGAACTGTAATACACCAAAGGCCAATTTTTCAAAAGTGGTCAATGATTTGAAGTGTCTCAAGTTGGACATGCCAAAATTGAGCCAACCTAAATCAGGATCCACCTTTGAAAATTGTGATTTGAGCATTTTTCACTTTTTGTCTCTCTGCCTGCTTCACCTAAATGAAAGCTGTCTGTAATTTATGTAGATGTCACTGTTCTGTAAAGACAAATGAATTTGCATAAACTGTCAAAATTACAGCTATATTTCATCCACATAATTTATACATCTGTCACTAAGTGGCAAGGTAATATAGATATCCGCTCTAGTGACTCAGATACAGAATACATTTGCAGAATACATTTTGTATGTGAGGGAAGCTGAGAAACAACATTTAGCAGGCTGTATTAATCCTTTATGTAACTCTAATCATTTCACTGGCAAATGTCTAGAATTATAGGAGGAATGCTATAAATTATTAGAAAAAAATGCAATATGTTTGGGAAGAGTTCATCTCTGGCAAAACCCACTGGCAGCAAAAAGGGGTGGCAGACCTGTGCTAGTCCCTGGGGTACCTCGATTGGGGGAGATTTTGTCCCAATCTATTTTTCTAGTAATATATAGCATTTCCCCTGCAGTTACAGGTATTTGTGTGAATGAGAAACAGGACCCCAGGTTTCTATTAATGTTGTGGGTAACCCCACCATTGCTGCCACCCCAAAACCAGAAGCCCATTTCTTTTTCTTATTCAAGATGTTCAGGCAAAAACTCTTATTACTGTAATTACAGGTGCTCTTTCTATATGCTCTGAACTGATAGGGAAACATTCCTGGACAAGAGCCTTGAGTGACTGCAAGGAAGTAGTTGCTATTTCAGTACACTAAGGGGATTGTTAACCATGCTTAGATCAGGTCTACACTACCAGATTACTACAGGATTCTTAAGAAGAGAAAAAAAAATGAATCCTATTATAATTATCACTTTTAGTATATGGAAAAGTTCCTATAGAAAATCCAGCTAGAGGCCTCACCTCTCTCCATCTCTGCTCTGCCCTCTTCCTGCCCTTGCCCCACACCACCCCTGCTCTGATTCTTGCTCTGCCCCCTGCTCTACCCCTGCCCCACCTCTTCCCCCAATCAAGGTACCCCGGGGACTAGCACAGGTCTGCCACCCCCAAATACTCAATGGCATTTGGGGTGGAGGAAACGGAGCCAAGCAGCCCCAGTTGTTTTGCTCCCCTGGCCATGTGGCTCCACTTCCTGCCAGGGAGTGCAGGGGCTGTCCTGCCACCTTGCTCTGCTTCCTCCCACTGCTGCCAGTAAGTGCAAGGGGGCCGGACCCTCCTGCAAGGCCAGCTCCCATCCCCTGCTAGTCCTCCTTCCGGCTAGCCCCTCCTGCCCTCAGCATCTGGATGACCCCTTGGGCCCCCCCCCCACACACACCCCTCTCTTTTTCTCTCTCTCTCTCTCACACACACACACACACACAAATCACCCCTACAGCTGCTGCAATTGTGATGCTTTGGGTGATTTCCTCTGTAAGTGGCAGACACGCTATATAATAGCTAATTAGCAGAAGGATGTTTCCCAGCCTACTGAACAGGTAACAGCTTCTCCACAAACCTGAGAAGTCTAAATAGCCCCATTTAATGATCAATTAGTGGAAGAGAACACTATTTGCACCTCCATGACACTTGCTCAGTTGTTGTTAACGGCAGGTAGATTGGATCTAATGTTGACAGTAACTGGGTCTATTCAACAGTGAAAAATATGCAATTGGTTCATTAAATCTGGATCAGGCTCGCTACAGTAAAACTGATTTAAGAGAGATCTGTAATGTCCCCCTGAAACTGGTCTCACATTTCTGACCTAGCATTAATAAAATCCAGAGAGCTAGAGAACCAACCTCACTTGCCTTGATATAACTAATTCAGAACACAGCCTCTGGATCATGAGGGGCAACACGTGGAAGGAAAACAAAGGGGGCATCAGCTAAGCAGGGCATGTGAGCTCCCCATGTGACTCCCTACCCCAGGGCCCTGCATTCTACCTGTCCATCCCTTCCCCATCCCACGTTACCTGGGGAGGGGAGGGGGGACTCTGTCCCATGCAGCCAGCAGTGTCCCCTCCCTGGCAGTGTAGCCAGAGGCTGCTTGGGAGAGTGCAGCCTCTGCACTGCTGCACCAGGCTGCATGGCCAGAAGGGGAGAGGATCTGGCTTCACCGCCTCTTCCCTTCCCAGCTCTGGCCCCAGCAGCCATGCTGGTGCACCGCATGGCTGTACTGCCCCCTCCCCCAGCCCTGTCCTCTGGCAGAGCTGCACAGACCCCAAGAGACACAGCTGCGTGGAGGGGCTGCTGCTGCACCAGAGGAACTGCCATGCTTCATTCACCAGTGCCATTAATGTGCCCGGCCAGGCATCTAGAGAGGGGCATGTGACTCTCTCTGCCTCTCCCCACCTTCATCTCTCAGGAGCACTGGTAGGCCTGTTTCCCATGTTCCTTTCATCTCACACCCTGGCTAACCCAACAAGAAACTACAATGAAGGCATTGCTTATGTAGACATTTTGTTACAGGTACAGACATTTACTTTGATACTAAATACTCTGCTTGGACTGTTATTGGATTACGATCTTCTTCAGTCAGTCCCAGGTGAGGGGAATCATACATCTGAGCACCTCGCTATCTTTAATGTATTTATCTTCTCAACACCCGTGTGAGTTAGAAAAGTGCCACATTGTATAGATGGGGAACTGAGACACACAGAGGCTAAGTCACACAGGAAGACCATGACAAAGTAATGAGGAGTCCTGTGGCACCTTAGAAACTAACAGATTTACTAGGGCTAAACTTTTGTGAGTAAAAGCCACTTCCTCAGATGAATTGGAATGGAAGTTACAGAAGCAGGAGTATATATAAGGAAGAAGTTTCTTGTATTAAGGAAGCTAGTCAAGTCAAGGTAGAAGTGCTCATTCACAGCATTGGTGTGGAGAGGTGAATATACAGAGAAGGGAAATTGCCTTTGTAATGCATCAATCAGTGGAGATGCTTATTTAATCCTAAATTGATAGTGTTGAATTTGCAAATGAATTCCAGTTCAGATGTCTCTCTTTGTAACCAATTTTCAAAATTCTTCTGTAGAAGGCTGGCTACTTTAAAATCCATCACTGAATGCCCAGGGAGGTTAAAGTGTTCCCCTACAGGTTTATGCGTGTTACCATTCCTGATATCTGATTTGTTTTGTTTTATCCTTTGGCATAGAGACTGTCTGGTTTGCCCAACATACATTGATGGCACTTGATGTCATAGATCACATTAGTGGATATGCAGTTGTATGAGCCCCTGATCTTGTGACTTCTGTGGTTAGGTTCTGTGATGGTGTCACTTGTATAGATATGTGGACAGAGTTGACAATGGGGTTTGTCGCAGGGATAGGTTCCTGAGTATGTGTTTCTGTGGTATGATGTGTGGCTGATGATGAGTTATTTGTTTTAGGTTGGGGGGGCTGCCTGTAGGCTAAGACCAACCTGTCTCCTAGAGTCTGTGAGCATGAGGGATCTTTTTCCAGGATTGTATGTAGTTTGTCAATGATGCACTGGATGAGTTTTAGCTTGGGGCTGTAGGTAATAATCAGTGGTGTTCTGTGATTTACCTTGTTGGGCTTGTCATGAAGCAGGTGACTTCAGGGTACTCGTCTAGCTCTATCAATCTGTTTCTTCATTTTCTCAAGTGGGTATTTAAGTTTTAAGAATATATGATATAAGCCCTGTAGGTGTTGGTCTCTGTCTGAGGGACTGGAGCACATACAGTTGTATCTTAAGGCTTGGCTGTATACAGTGGATTGTGTGATGTGTCCTGGATGGAAGCTAGAGGTATGTAGGTAAGAATAAAGGTCAGTAGGTTTCCAGTATAGGGTGGTGTTTATGTGACCATCATTTATTTGTACTGTAGTGTCCAGGAAGTGGCAATGGAACTAAGGTCTCCTGAATTCCAAGCTAGTACCCCAAGCTCTGCATCATCCTTCCTATCTTCTTCATCATCATCATCTTCTTTTCTTCCATAAATTGAGGAGATGGCCTGTACAAACATACAATGTAGTGGTCCAGCTGAGAGGGGTTAAAGGAGACTAGAGACTAGAGGGGTTAAAGAAGACTAGACTGCACATAACCCAGTCAATCAGGGATAGGCTTATTAGGAGCCAATCCGAAGACAGCTTGCTGGGGCAACCCTGCTATAAAAGGCAGCTCAGCAGAGCAGAGATGAGTCTCTCCCTGAGAAACGAGTAGGACTAGCTGCTGAGGGAAGCACCCTGAACAGAGCAGTGTTGGGCAGGGCAACAGTGCAGCGAGAGCTCTGGCCACTGCCAGACAGAAGGCCTTGACATAAGGGTGGAGTGAGTTCAGGGCTACAGGGAAGTGGCACAGGGAAGGCAGGTAGTAAAGGGGCACAGAGGAGGGCAGTAAGAGGCTGCCACTCAAGGGTTCTGGTCCTGGGACCCAGAGTAATGGGCAGGCCTGTACCACTGCTTTTCCCCCCACTAGCCGCTGAAGAGAGCGACCAAGCAAAGGACTGCAGCTTGTCCCTGAGGGAGGGGATAGATTTGAGACTGCAGTTCACCACTGTAGCGCAGGGCCGGACTGAGCTGCTGGTACTCCCAGAAGGGGAGAGAACGGAGTGGTGGGCATTGCTGGAGGCTGTGTCCTGAAGCAGACACTGCGGTCCAAGGAGTGACGCAGCTCCGGAACCAGAGGGTGGAAGTAGGGACGTGAACAAGGGCAAGACATGAGCCAAGGCTGTGCACTCAAGCTGCACAGAGCTAATTCCCAGACTGACTGGCAGAAGGCGCTGCAGCAGTGAGTCCAATCCACTACAGGTCAAATTCGAACTAGCGGAGCGCTAGTGTAGCGCATAGGAAAGTTAGTTCGAACTAACGTCCGTTAGTTCGAACTAACTTTCTAGTGTAGACATACCCCAAGATATTAACAGGGTTCAAGAAAAAACTAGATAAATTCATAGAGGTTAGGTCCATCAATGGCTGTTAGCTAGAATGGCCAGGAATGGTGCCCCTAGCCTCTATCAGAGGCTGGGAATGGGTGACAGGAGATAGATTTCTTGATGATTCCCTGTTCTGTTTATTCCCTCTGGGGCATCTGGCATTGGCCACTGTTGGATGACAGGATACTGTGCTAGATGGTCTTTTGGTCTGACCTAGTCTGGCCCTTCTTATGTTCTTATTACATATGAGCTTTGCATTTTGCCTGAAGGTGAACAGAACTTTTTGATCTCTGATCATTATATATGCAAGGGCCTGGGAGCTCCTGAGGAGTGAGGAAGCAGACCTGGGAGAAAGAAGTGTTTGGGGAGAAATCCTGTTACTGTTTCTTTAACAGGCCCAGGACCAGGAGAATGGTAGAGGGGGTGGGCAAAGCTCTCCTCTCCCCCAAACAGTTGGGGATGAGCTGAGAGACAGAGTCCAACATAAATGCAACATCCTCTCTCTTAGGACCAGGAAAATGCAAGGAACTGCCAGTAGGTAAAAGCTGGCCTGCTGAGCAGCCTAAGGCCAAGGGATCTGCTGAGAAAGAAGCTGCAAAAGCCTTATAGCGGGTTAACGCACCACTCAGTTCCAGGAAGGAGGGCTGAGGATCTTTGCATAAGAAGGACAAGATGATCTGACCAACAGAACCCAGCTCCAGAAGGAGAGTGGGAGACTGTTTAAGGAGAGAGTGAGGGTATGTCTACACCGCCACCCTAGTTCGAACTAGGGTGGCAGTGTAGACAATTCGAAGTTGCAAATGAAGCCCGGGATTTAAATATCCCGGGCTTCATTTGCATCTTGCCGGGCGCCGCCATTTTAAAATCCCCGTTAGTGCGGACTCCGTGCTCGCGGCGACACGCAGCACGGAGTAAGTAGTTCGAATTAGGCTCTCTAATTCGAACTACCGGTACACCTCGAATTAGAGAGCCTAATTCGAACTACCTACTCCGTGCCGCGTGTCGCCGCGGGCACGGAATCCGCACTAACGGGGATTTTAAAATGGCGGCGCCCAGCAAGATGCAAATGAAGCCCGGGATATTTAAACCCCGGGCTTCATTTGCAACTTCGAATGCCTACATTAGCCACCCTCGTTCGAACTAGGATGGCAGTATAGACATACCCTGAGGGATTAATTAATGCAACCCCATTTCAGAGAGCTAGGGACTCCTGCTTAAGGAAGATCTGAAGAGGAGTAGTCCAAAGCCATCATTCAGAAACAGAGACCATTTCTCCTGCAGGGAAAAATCACAGGGTTAGAAGGAACTTCGAATGCCTACATTAGCCACCCTCGTTCGAACTAGGATGGCAGTATAGACATACCCTGAGGGATTAATTAATGCAACCCCATTTCAGAGAGCTAGGGACTCCTGCTTAAGGAAGATCTGAAGAGGAGTAGTCCAAAGCCATCATTCAGAAACAGAGACCATTTCTCCTGCAGGGAAAAATCACAGGGTTAGAAGGATGACCGCTCAGGTCACCAAGGCTAAACTCCTGCCAAGAGGCAGGCTTTGTTGTGTCTAGACCAGTGGTTCCCAAACTTTTCAGCATCAATCCCCCTTTTTGATTTTTGAGAAACCCTCATGGCCCTCCCTTCCCCAACTGCTCAGGTCACCAAGGCTAAACTCCTGCCAAGAGGCAGGCTTTGTTGTGTCTAGACCAGTGGTTCCCAAACTTTTCAGCATCAATCCCCCTTTTTGATTTTTGAGAAACCCTCATGGCCCTCCCTTCCCCACCAGAAAAACTTGTTGAGAAAAAAAAAGGAAGGGTATGTCTACACTACAACGTTAATTCGAACTAACTTAGTTCGAATTAGTTAATTCGAACTAAGCTAATTCGAACTAACGGATCCAGACTAACAAACAAGTTCGAATTAGCGTTTTGCTAATTCGAACTAGCATGTCCACATTAAGTGGACCCTGAACCAGGCTTAAGGATGGCCGGAAGCAGTGCCGGCAGAGAATCAGAGGAGGACTTAGAGCGTGGAGATGCTGTCTCAGGCTAGCCGAGGGCTGTGCTTAAAGGGTCCCGACCCCCACCCCGCGCCGGCCCCAGGCGCACGGCCCTTGGAGGGGGCCCTGCCCCCGGACGCACAGCTATGGGGGGGCCCCGCCCCCGGGCGCGCTAGTGTCCCCGCCCCCTGGCGCCCGGCAGGCAAACGGCCACGCCCCCGGCACCCGACAACCTCAAAAGGTTGGGGACCACTGGTCTAGACCATCCAGGACAGATGGCTGTCCAGCCTCTTGCTGAAAACTTCCAGTGATGGAGCTACCATAACCTATCTGGGCATCTGCTCCATTGTCCTACTGTTCTGACAATTAGGAAGTCTTTCCTCAGATTTAATCTAAATCTGCAGTAGTTTTGAACCCACTGCTGTTTTGCCATGAAGGAGGATGCCTGAGGGGGCGCATGGCCTAAGTGTTTCTGAGTAAGAGCCTATTTATGCTTATGGCTGTGATTAATAAACAAGGCCCTGGAACAAAGGGGGCACTTAGATTAAAAAAAAAAACCTTGTATGGGCTTGTTTATAACCCAAGTGAATGGAACTCAGGTTGGACTGACCTGTGGCCCCATGCCTGGGTTGACCTCCATGCTATTGCACAAGCCTCACCCCCCAGGCCTTAAAACTCTCCTTAAAACTGTCCTTTGCTGTGATGCCTACAAAACATTTGACAACAATTGGTCTGCAGTCATGCTGAATTGACTGTATGTCATGCTGACCAGCATGGCCTCATGGTTTCCTTGTACTGCCCTATCTGTTGCCTCTTGTCTTATCTTGGACTGTAAGCTTTTTGGGACAGCTACTGTTTCTTTGTACCACACCAAGCACAACAGGATCCATGAATGGGAGTCAGTGGCACATACAAAGTATTGGCACTGATTCAGAGAGTATAAGGCCTTCTCTTTGTTAAATTAAACAGACTGAGCTCCAGGATACAGTCACTATAAGGCAGGTTTTCCAATCCTTTAATCATTCTCATGTCTCTTCCCTGAACCCTCTCCAATTTATCACCATATGAGAACTGGACACAGTATTCTAGTAGAGCAGCCCTGGACAACCTAGGATAGTGAGGGGGCCAACTGAATTGTAGCAGCTTTTTGGTTGGAAGCAGAGGGAGCGCACGGCACGTACACTCAATGTTGTGTGCATGCACTTCACTTCACGTGCCTTTGCTTCATGTGCATGTCACTATGCAGACGGAAACCAGGGGAATCTGGCATGGGCAACAGTAAACAAAATGTCTCATGGGCATAGAACCTCGCTGGACCATGGATTGCCCACCACTGTAGTAGAGGATGCACAAGTGCAAAATAGAGAGGTTAAATAAACCCCCTATCATACACTTTTTCCGGGCTTTATTGCCTAAGAGCGGGTATGGTATCTACAATCATGGGTATCATAGCCAGCAATAACTAGAATATGCTGCCAGCAGTTTACCTGGAGGTGATCTATGCATGGATCACAGTGGCCTGGTACTCACCTGGAAGAAATGTGTGAGATCTTTTGGACACTCTCTTCTCACTACCTGTTAATATAAGGCAACTAAAAGAGTTTTACCAAGGATGGGTTAAGAGGACCGGGCACTACTGTAATACTCTCAGTTCAATACCTGGGAACTGAAATATCGCCTTGGCCTGGCTTGGTGGGATTACACCTCATCACCACAACAGTTGCACGTCCATTTTCACAGGAAGTTGTAACTGTAGAAGACCTAATATGAAATAAGACCATAGTTTGCAATGAGCATTGATTTCACTTTAAAAAATGACAACTTGCACAGTAAATGTACATTTCCATGTATGCACACAATTCTAATTTATATGTACCTGCCTGTAGCTATTGGAGCGGACCCCTAGGCTCTCCTTCCCACTAGGCAGAAGCCAAAGGCAACATGAGGTCATGTCCCCCCCCTGCCCCCGGATTTCTACCAGGGTTTCCTGGCCCTGTTTGGTCTCATAATGCTGCTAGGCCCCCCTGCCCCCGGATTTCTACCAGGGTTTGCTGGCCCTGTTTGGTCACATGATGCTGCTAGGCCCTCCCCCTGCATGGCAGCTGCTAGAGCGTGCAAGCTGTGGCCATCAGGAGAGCCAGGGCAAACGGCTGTGAGCTGCAGAGAGAGCTGCTGCTTTTGCAGCTGGCTCTCCCTGTAGAGCTAAGGCAACAGCCCCTCCCTGCAGCTCCCAGCACTCTGTCGCTGCCTCTCCATGAGGAGCTAATTCTTGGGAGCTGCAGAGAGAGTCTGCTCAGTGTAAGAGGGGCCATGACTCCTCACACCTCCTCACCAGTCTAGTAGGCAGAGAATGGGAAGGCGTGGAGGCTCCTCAAGTCTCACTGTAACTGTAAAAGAGGTGCATGAGACTCATGAACTGTGGTTTAGCCACCCCTGCTATAGAGAGTTGGGGGACTCTGCCTGGCTTCCAGCAGTGCTGAATCACTCTGACCCAAGTCAGCCCCCAAGCCAAAATAACAGTATTAGAAAATCATAACCACAGAGATCATGGGCTGAATGTTACTCTGCTAGAGACTGGCAAAGTTTATTAAACGAATGTTTGTGAGCAAGTTTAAATCACAAGTTCAACAGCAATGGAATGGACAGGGTATCCAGGGACAGATTTTTGGGTTGGGGGAGAGTGGGTACATAATTTAATTTAAATTTTAGTAACAGATGGTTTTCTCAAATTGCCAGCCCTATACAACAGACTCTGAGAGTGATGTTGGCTTTCTGCAGGCTCATACATCATTGAAATAGAAGAGTCTATAAACAGAATGTAGTTAATAATTCTGATAATGCATGAAGTGGAGTAGAATCCATCTCCCTCTCTGATCTATGATGGCTCTGTAGGACTAATAGCAGTAAAATATATGAAAAACTTATTTTAAAGACTAAAGGAAGGCTATGTATCTCTGAAAGCACACAAAGAGCAAATCTGGTGTGTGAAAACCCCCCCCCCCCCTCTCTCTCTCTTTCTCAGTGGAATACACACACTCTCTGCCTCTCTCTCTCTCTCTCTCTCTATCTATCTATCTATCTATCTATCCCCTGATTTGTCAATTGTATATGTTTTCACTTTTTTTTATTGTGTCCCTTTGGTATATATGGTCATGCCAATTTTCTTTCACAATTTGATCTGAGGAAGTGGGTCTGGCCCATGAAAGCTCATCACCGAATAAACCATCTTGTTAGTCTTTAAAGTGCTGCATAGTCCTGTCCTTTATCTCTCTCTCAGAGATACTACAATCACACACACACACACACACACACACACACACACACACACAGAAGTGGCAAACTACAATTCCCTTCAAGTGAAGAAGTTGAACAGGACTCCCTGGATGACATATGCTGCACAGATCTGCCCTCTGTAGGCTTAAAACCACAATAATCTTATCCAAAGTAGGGTTGCTGGTCAGGATAGTACCTAGAGGAACAAACTAGGAAGAGAACACTGCAGGCTGAGAAAGTTTCATTTTGTAACAACATGTAAAAATAAAAATAAATGCAAAAGGACGCATATACACGTAAAGCACTCTTTCAAAAAGGAAACTAAGAAGCAGCCAGGACCCAGAATACAAAATTGAAGATGGCACCTGGAAATATCCAAGCTCTCCTTTTTTAAATCAGAAATAACTCAGATTTGTGCAAGCCCCACTGCATTTCTTGATTTCAGAGCCTACACGTCAGCATGCCTATCAGTCTGAGCCCAGCGCTGGATGGGTGCCTCAAAGACCTTACCCTACATCTACATTCTCTTTAAACAATTAAAAGAGCATTGATGATCCTCCAACAGAGAGTTTTCCACCTACTTGAAAAAGAAATTCACATCAGGTATTGTCCTTGGAGGAGATGGAAACATTTCTGTTTCAATGTTAATGTTTCCCAGTGTGGTTTCAACCGTAGCTCCTAAAAATAATAGTGACAAATTAAGCATGTGGTTTTTGAAAGGTGCGTGCTTTGTATTTTATAATGTGTGCTTACCAGTAAAGGCATTTGATTTCTAATTATGAATTTGTCTAGTAATTTGCATTATGCACAATTTTTTTAAAATAAACACTGTGAATTTCTATACCAGTAAAGGCATTTGATTTCTAATTAAGAATTTGTCTAGTAATTTTGCAATATGCACAATTTTTTTAAAATAAATCCTGTGAATTTCTAGCCCTTTCATAAGGTACAATTTTATTATTGAAGGATAAGCAGTAAAACAAAGTGCTGATATTAAATTTCACAGTCCAAGACAGTTTTACATTTTTCAAAGGGAATGGCCACTTTGTGCAGGATTCCATGTTTTCAACCCTAGCGAGTGGAATTCCTAACCAAATGACAGAGATCGTGTAATAATTAACAGGGTGAGCTTCCCTGTGCTACCCTATGCTGTCCTGTCACAATGCATGGGAGGACTGCTTCTTAGGGGTTAAAAGTTTGTGCTCCATGCTCATTCTATGTCTGCAGAGACAGCCAATGAGGAGGATGGTCCTAGTCAACTAGGCCAGGTCTACACTAAAAGGGAAGGTCAGATCAAGATGTGCAACTCCAGCTATTTGAGCTATTACCAGGTCTACACTAAAAGGGAAGGTCAGATCAAGATGTGCACCTCAAGCTATTTGAGTTATTATGTAGCTGGAGTTGACATACCTCGATTCGAGTTTTCACATTGTCCCCACAGCAAGAGGCTGACAGGAGCAAACGCTCCCGTTGGCTTCCTTTCTTCTTGCAGAAGCAGGAGTACGGGCTGCCAACGGGGCAGCCCTCTGAGTCACATTTAGCAGGTCTTAATTAGACCCGCTAAATCAAACTCCAGTAGATCAATTGCAGCAGTGTCAATCTTCCACTGAGTGAAGAGATTGCCCTAGAGACAGGTAAAAAGTAAAGGGTCAAATTCACAAACTTTCTTTTACAATAAATGTTTTGCCATTAGGCTGTAATGAAATTCCTAAGCAACTCCCTTATCTCCCTGCACTGTGACCCTTAGGGTTAGGGGGCCTACCAAGGGTAGTATGGGAAACAATGAATTACATATGTTGTAGCTTCACCTCCTAAGTAAGTGAAAAGAAGAAAGCTAAGGAACGGGAGGAGGTTTAGTTCTTTCATTGGCCAGCACAGTGGGAAAACAAATTAGTTCATGGTATAGACCAGTAGCTGCTTACTTCTCCCCTGGAGCAAATGGGGAGCCAGATATCGAATTGTGGCTCTAATGTACCTTTGGCTTGCTCATGTGGTGATGCAGCTCTTCACTGCTCCTTACTCTGGGCTACACTCTTAAACTACTATACTATATATTTTAGAATATTTGTTTAATCAAGAACATCTCCTAAATGGTAAGAACTAGGACCACCAAATTTGGTGCACTGCTTCCTCTTATCATAACTTAAAGCAATGTCAAGGTTTGTTTGTGCCAGGAAAACAGGATGTGCCTGGAATGGGACTGTCTCATATAAAACCAAACAGAAAACAGAATCACCAAACCAAGTATAGTCCTCAAAACTGACATAACTGAGCAAATGTTGAAAGAGACTGAACCAAGATGAGCCAGAAAAATAGGATGAACCTGCAATAGGACTGCTTTTCAATTAACCTTACCACAAAAAAAGAGAGAGATAAAATGGAGAAATTCAGATTAGTGCTCTGGTTTGGCACAGCTAAATCAGTGCATAAGGTTTGAAAACTAAAAGACAATGTTATTGGAAACCCAACTGACTATAGCCCTTTTTTGTTAAAACACAGTGAATAATAAGAGTTTATAGGGCTGAAGAAAAAAATACACTTGATGGAATTCCCATTTAAAAAAAACTACTAAAAAATTTTTTAATGAAAATCTTGATGGAATTCCCATTTTAAAAAAACTACTAAAAAATTTTCAAATGAAAAATTTTAACAATTCTGGATTTTTAAGAAATCCGAAATAAAAATTAACTTTGTACATATAACACTGTATTTTTGAAAAATAAAAGCATTTTAATAATGCATGTACATTTCCTTTTTATTTTCAAAAAAACTTACGTGAGTTACAGACCTGAGCAATACCGAATAAATCTGCCAGTCGTAAATATAATATTGTGAAACCTTGAAAACAGGTTTCTTCCCTAAAATACCTTCTCCATTCCCCCTGCCAAGGTGCCTGAAAGCAATCTGATGACAAAACACTCTCGCTTTTGTTTCTGTGTGGTTCTTTGTTCACTGCTAGGCTTGAAGCATGACAGCACCTGCCATACGTGGGGAGCACCTAGTGCACAGGGCATCCCTACTCTGCCAACGCCTCAGTGATCAGAGAAGTGAAAACACATTAGGAGTGTGTGATCCTAAGAGCACTGTTGGAGGGGAAGGGCTCACTGGTCTCAGGCAATGGCTTTCAGCTGGCCAGACCAGGTCAGCGTACCCCAACTCACATACGTCATACTCTGTAACTAACATCTCCTATCATATGTCATTGGAAAACTAATAACTCAGTGAACCTTGGTAAGAAATCGATCCTGCACAAAGACCATCAGTTGTTAAGTCATAGTTATTAGAAAGTATAGGTTCTATTGTTTCATTTATAATTGCTTCTATCTTCATTTCTTATATGTGAACTCACTGAATTCTGGGTATATTTGTTAATAAATTGGTTTCATTTTTCTATAAACCCACTCAGTGCTGTGTTTGCAGGGAATGGTGTATTTACCCGCATTGAGTTAACAAGCTGTAATGTGCTTTTCTCTCTTTACAGGAGCAATGAACTTTATTATTTCTCTGAGCAGTCCAAATGAGAGCTGGACACATCAAGGCCCATGGTTCTGAGGAAATTCAGGACTGGGAGAGTGTAGGGGGTCACCTGGCTGGTTATAACCAAGGCTGGTGGAAGTCAGAGTGAAGCTGTAGACAAGTTGCTGTGGTCAGCGCGGCGTTAGCACACTGACACTCAGGGATGGTCTACATTGGGAACACACATTGGCATAGCTACATGTCTCAGGCATGTGAAAAATCCATACCCCTGAGAGACATAGCTATGCCAATGTATCCTGATCGAATTTCAGGTATAGAAGTTGTAGGTTCACAAAAGAATTCTTCCATCAACCTAGATCGTGCCTCTGGGGAGGCGAATTACCTACACCGGCAGAACACCTCCCATCAGCATAGGTAGTGTTTACACTGAAGTACTACAATGGCACAGCAGCAGCTGTGCTGCTATAATGGTTTAAGTGCAGACAGACCTTTAGGGTGTAACCTGCATGCTTGTAGGCTGGCAGTGAGCATCCCAGCCTGGAAACTATAACAGCAAACCAACGTACGGCATTCCGGGTTGCAGGGTATGTGCCGACACAAACCCTTACTGGTCTGAACTGTACCACTAGAACCAGAGCCGTCCTGTCCATTGGGCAGCCCAGGGGACTAGGCCTGTCCCTGAAATTCACTGGTGGCAGTGGGGAGTGGAGCAACCTGGCCACAGCCCGCTTCGCCAGCTCTGCATCCTCGGCTTCCCATTGCTGGTGAGTGGGGAGGGCGAGGGTGGTTTCACCCCTTCCTCCAAATCCCCTTCTTTGAGCAATGCAGCTGGGAGCCAGGAGAGTGGCGGTTCACTCCACTTCCCACCACCGCCGGTGAGTGCAGAAGTAGGCCCAACCCCTGCTGCCAATGCCAGACCCCCTGCTAATCTCCTAGCCACATCACTCGGGAACAGGGTCTTGGGGGAAAGGTTGCAATGGGGGTGGAGCAGGGCAGGAAGAGGCGAAGCAGAGTGGAGTGAGGGTGAAGCAGGGGCAGGAAGAAGCAAAGTGGAAGCAGGGCCTGGGGCAGAGAAGGGCTTGTCCCAGCCCCCACAACCGCCTAGGAATGGCCCTGACCACAACAATGACCACCTGCAAACTAATAAATAGTGGGCCTTCTCCACAGAGAGACTAAGCCGCTGCAATCCCCACTGATGTGCACCGGCTTTGCAGGACGAGGCCATAAAGCAATATCACCCTTTTTCTTAGCTGCAGGTGAACAGAACAGTCTGCCGAGTCTTCCTCAGGAACAAAAAGTAAAAGGCACGTACCTAAGAATGTATCAGCCAGGCTGTTGGACTGCAGAGCCAGTGCTGTTCTGAACCCCTTACTGTCGGATGGGATGATCGTGGACTGGCATACAAAAGATCCCACCCAGCTTGAATAGTCTTCTGATTCAGCCACCATGTCCTTTACGGTGACATCTGTTATATTGTCTGTGCAAATGGCCATCTTCTTT